AAAACTAATGATGTAATGTATGGGGATTAACATAAGAATAAAAAAAAATAAAAAATAAAAAAAAAGAAGTTAATGGTAAAGGAAAAAAAAAAGAATCACCGTGCGTGAATGCAAAGCTGTCAAATATTGTAATTCATGATTGGTCTTTTACTTACCAAAACAGTTTTAATTTAATTACTACTTATAAATATTAAAGCATTTCTCTATATCATGTACAGTATTTACAGTGGAGAAAGAGCTTTGGAGCCAGGAAGGCCTGTTTTCCGGTCCTGACACCAGCAGCCACCAGCCATGAGGCCTTGGACAATGACAGAACTTAAGTTTTTTTTTCCCTTTCGAGCTCACTTTCCTCAACTCTAGGAAGGGCAGATTCTTAGCAACCAGCAGGCCTCAGAGACCTAGCTCACAGGAGAGTCATGATATGAACTGTCAACATGTGGGGAGGACGGATTCCTGCCTTCGCGAGAGAAACCCTCCAAGCTTGAGCTCTGTCACCAGGGCAATTATCCTGCATGGCATTCAGACCACAGAGGTTCCCGGATTCCTCTGATCTTCCTGGTAGGATGGCGGGGTCAAAGCATGACCTTCTTTCTCGTATTTTTCTTTACGGTAAACTATTACCTCTCTCATCCTGTCTCTCTGTTCTCTTTTCTTTTGTCTTCTCTCTTTCTCCTGCCCCTCCTCCTCCTTTTCCTGCTCCTCCCCCCATCTCTTTCTCTTTCTCTCCCTTCTAATAAAGCCTAAATGGAAGAAAACAAGTGTCTCCCATGTCTGTCAGTACCACAGCTCTCTTGAAAAAGCCATCTGATAGTTTATTCAATTTTCACATACACCAGACAAAAAAAGAGGGACTGGGCTTTTATTTTATTTAAAACTTTTAAATTCTTCAAATGGTTTTCATAGAAGTTAAAGGAATATAACCACTATTGGAAGTTATGAAGTGAATCACTAAGATACTTACAAACCATATCACCAGCTCACACCTTGGGGTGAAATTTATGGCTGGGTCAAAGATGAGAACAAAGATCGGGGGAAAATGGGTCTCTTCCTTATGTGGATATGTTCTTGGGATCTTGAGAGACTGAGCAAATATCCCTGCCTCTGGGGGAGGTTTCCCACAGCCAACAGCAGGTTAGATGTTCTCTGAACAAATTCCCAGCATCCCCTCTACACAAACATACTCTAACACCGTCACCACCATACAACTCACTTGTGCATTTCCTGTCCCCACTGGAGAGAAGGGTTGTGTTGTATGAATATCAGTGTGCCCACGGCTAACACCACGGCTGCCACGTGGTGAACTGTGTTCATAAAATGAATGGGAATAGAACAGAAATGCAGCAGAACAAAGACTATTAGTCTCACGAACTGCTTATATTGGTTTGAAAAAAACCGCAATATCCATGTTATTTAATCCATGAATAATGCATTGGCAGAGCCTTATGCACAAAGCCCTACACTAGGGCACAGGTTAGGGAGAGGGGAAGTGGGGATCAGTTTTAATGATGAATTAGTCTCTGTCTCTAAGGGATTTTCAAAATATTGGGAAGCATACAAGGTACAGTAGAGTAGGCTCTCCTACCTAAAGCATGTGGGCTGTATCCTGGAGAATATGAATTGGGTTCTTCAGAGATGGAGTTAATGAGTCATATGAGGCAGAGAGAACAGCAAGGGCCAAGACCCAGAAGCCTGGGGTGCACATTCCGGCCAGTTACCAGTTAGATCTCGTGTGGATGGAGCTAGGGTGAACGGGGGCGTGAGGCGGCATGGGGTTAGAAGGTAGAGGGAGGCCACGATATGGATGGACCTACCTGAATGCCCTGTATGAATGCGGAGTCTGGTCTTTATATTACAGGCATCAGGAGATCGGCAAATTCTTGGAACAGAGATGAAAGATGCCTCTGATTGTCAAAATAACAACGCTAGTTTCACTACCACAACTGTGGAAAAATGAGAGTAGCGGAGGATCTAATTCAAAGAGAATGGATTTAGTCCTAAACTAACGACCAGTATCAGCTGACATGCATTCATAACTTCCTTTGTGCCTTAAGTGTTCTGTGGATGGACCTATCCACTGCTCACAGTAGGCCTACAGAATATAAATTACAATTGCTTTTGCCCAATTTCACAGTCACTAATGGTTGGAGCAAAGATTCCATTTGAGGCAGTCTGGTCAACTGTTAAGGCCCTTAGGTAAAAGGTTCGATTGCCTTGGGGCAGAAGAGTGAGGGGTCCCGGGGAGGAGGGATCACAGACAATACAGACAGAATTTGCAAGGATCTGGCACCCAGTAGGTATCTAGCCCATGGTACTGCAGCAGACCAGGAATAAATATTACTATTTTAATATGGAAATGGGACTCTTTTATTTCCCTTTCTTCACCACACTGAAACAACGGAATGCAAATCTGATGACCTCCTTGGAAATTACATTAAGGTCACCAATTCCTAGGGGAAAAGGGAAATAGTTCTTTATTTGCTAATGCTTCTGCTCTGGGATTAAAGAATCATCAGAGCACACTGAAGGAACAAAGAAGGTCAAGAGAAGTTCTGAGTGGGAAGTAGTCTTGGGAAAAGGGAACGAACAGGTGAGAGGTCTGTAGAGAGAAGTCTTGGGGAGACAGCCAATCCTCTGAGAGCAATTGCCTTGGGGTCCTTCTGGGAAGACGGGATCCTTAGTGCTGGGGTCACAGACTCAGTCAAGTTCCCTGTCCCAAGCACCTTCCAGAAGCTTCAAAGAGATGCTGCCTCTGAAAGACAGGCAAAGACGGACAATACATGGCTTCGAGGCTCCTGCAGGGGCAGATGGCCCCAGAAAGATGGCCTCCAGCCACATCTAAATCTAGAGCACCAACTTGAGGGCAGCAGAGAAGGGCCAGCAGGGAAGCCTGCGAAAGCCCGAGGCTGACTTCCCATCATGTGCGGCAGAATGGATGGGCTCAGAGGATAGGAAGATTTATAAAAAATAAAGACATGCAATGCAATTGTACGCATGAGTTGCAGGATTGAAATTTGCATCCATCAGGGCGTCTATTCATATGTAAAGGAAAACAGACTGAAGACTTTCTGCAAGGAAGCCAAGTAGTAAATCCGAGGAGCTGATCACCAGTGCTTATTGTAAATTTCTTCCCTACCTGTTCAGGTGTTCTGTAGCTATCGTATATAACTATAATGAAGACGAGCACACACACATACAAACACACCACGCACACTCAGCCTTGGTGCAAAGTACTAAGTGTTTTTTTGACCAGCTGGGTAGGCGGCCTTCTCTAACGTGCGTCCCCTTCTTGCTGTCATACACAGTGTTGACGCTAGATGTCAGGGCACAACTGAGAACCCAGTAACATCCCTCCATCACAAAGTTATACTGTCCTTGGATGTCTCCTTGACTTTTTTTCTTTTTCTTTTTTAAAGATCCTACAAATCTCTGCCTGCAGAAACTCTGAAATTTAAGTGGCACATGATTTAAATGATGGGCATCCCAGCATCATGGTTTGAAATGCCTCACAAACAGATGGCAGGGCAGATCTTTAATATGTACTTATATTCATCGTGCCTCAGTTTCTCTCTGTGAAATAGAGCTTATGAAGTTTTTTGTTTTGTTTTGTTTTGAATAGGATTCAAAAGATAAAACACGTAAGACTTCCAGCCGGCAACTTTCTGGCTCTTTAAGCGATCATGGGTCTACTTCAGCTATGATAGCTTTTGGGTTTCCATGAGCAGGGCTGTGGGAGGGGACAGAGGACTAACATCCACAGAATGCCCCGTGGGCACCAGGCTCTCTCCCGCTGACCTATCAGTTCCCTAACACACTGTGCAGCCCAGCAAGACAGACCACGATGTTGATACAAACGCACAGATACGCACAGATACACACAGATGGGATTACAGCCTATTTTCTTGAATACCTTGCCTGGTTCGTGGCATGAAGCAAGCACTCCACAGGAGTCTGAACTGAATGCTACCAAAGTTCAATGAGAAATGACTTTATATTTGATATACGAAAGGATGTCCATTCTCTGCTCATGGTGAGGGGAGAATCTGGTTCCCATTTCATAGGTGAAAACACCAAGGCACTTGGTAGAATTTTACCCCAGAGGGAGTCAGGAAGGGGATCTCTACCATAGCTGCCCTTCTGTTGCATTGATTTGTCAATTGCACTGACACAAGGTCATTTTAAGTAACTAGCTTAGCCGGAGATTTTGCATCTCCTCCATGAACTGCCAAATCACTTCCTTGATTTGGTTCCACTGCTGTTGGAACGTAAGTAGGGCGACTGACCGGGACCCACCGATAAGCCTTAGTCTTGAGTCTTTCCAGAACAAAGACCAACCTGTTGCAGGGCAGTCCACGTATCTGTCCTCAAAGATAACTGGCAAGTTGTTCCAGTCGCCATCGATGTCCAGGCACTCCGCGGGCAGCGGGGGCATGGTGGTGAGGTACTCCGAGTTTCGGATGTCCAGAGACAACTGGCTGTGGGTCTGTATCCTGGGGACACACATACTGGTTGAGCATCGGAACAAGTTTTAAATGTGGTAAGAATCATTGCCTCATCCCCTCATCCCAAGAAAACATTCAGGAAACATTCAGCAGGCTCTGACAATACATCGTCTGTGTGTCCATCCTCTCTTCCTTTCTCCCAGCCACCTACCCAGCCCCACTGGTCTGGGCACTGAGGTTAGAGGTCATGGATCGTGCGACCAGGGCACGTATCACATTCCCTTTTAGTGGGATGCAATAAATACCATTCCAGTGGAGCAGGATCTGAGCTTCTAAATGGCTAGGAATCTTAAATTAGTACTTTGGAGGAAACACGTCAAGCTCCTTATCCTTTACTCTTGCTTTTCTAACCTATAACACTTAGGGTCTGAATTCTAGGTTGTGGCATTGTATTAAGAACCATCTAAGATTGCTTTTTTTTTTTTTTTTTTCCTTTCTTTTTATTGCTTACTCTGTGGCCACCAGCATCCTGGATTAGCGGGTAAGTGCCCCTAGCTCAGGAGCCACGAGTTTTGGTTCCTCCATGTAAGATA